CTACTACTACTACTACTACTACTACTACTACTACTACTACTTACTTACTTACTTACTTACTTACTACTACTACTACTACTACTACTACTACTACTACTACTACTACTACTACTACTACTACTACTACTACTACTACTACTACTCTCTCTCTCTCTCTCTCTCTCTCTCTCTCTCTCTCTCTCTCTCTCTCTCTCTCTCTCTCTCTCTCTCTCTCCTAGAAATAGTGAGATATTTGGAGGGAGTGGTCCTAAATTGTGGTTCTAAATCCTTCTTTGCATTGAGGAAAAATAGGGCATCCTCTCCGCTTCCATCTAAACAAACTTATTCATACAATACTTTGCGATTAAATAAATTTTATTGATAAAAGCATCAATTACATTAGTATGAGAAAATAAAGAAGTACAGCAGTAAAAACAAATACACAAAAGATCCAGGGCTCAAGGAGACTCCGAGGAAAATGACAACTATCAACACAACTAAATTAGACAACCTTGCTCCCTCTTTCACCAGACTATTATTATTAATAGTTCTAGGGGAAATTATGTAAAATTGCAAATGCATACATCAAGTATGCACCTAAGCTCTCCTCAAGAAATCACATATTATCAGAAAAGAAGTATCAAGAGAAAAAAATGTGAGTATCCTGACAATTAGAAAGGCGTAATACATCGCTAAACAGCATTTTGTGATGGGTCACTTGGAAAATGAAAATGCGAAGGACATGCTCAAAAGACAACAATGCACCAACAGTTCATATCATAATAAAGTAAAATAAGGAAATCTGCAAAAAGCTATAATATAGAGGAGGAGGAGAAGAAAAAGATATTTTAATCCATGACTCAATTGGAAGATGGAAGGTGCAAGTTAATGCAGACTCCCACTATGGACTCAAAAAAGAGTTGGCACATCAAGAACAAGAATGAAGAAGAATAAGAAGAGAGAGAGACACTATGGACTCAAAACAGAGTTCACGCATCAAGAATAAGAATGAAGAAGAATAAGAAGAGAAAGAGCATATCAAGAACAAGAATGAAGAAGAATAAGAAGAGAGAGAGACACTATGGACCCAAAACAGAGTTCACGTATCAAGAATAAGAATGAAGAAGAATAAGAAGAGAGAGAGAGACTTACCTAGCTGCCCTGTAACTAAACCCTTGCCTCCATAAACAGTACCCTCATCCGCTCCACCATCCGGCAACATTGGCACCACCCCCTTCCTTGCCTTCTTCACCATTCCCACCCCATCATCTCCGCCATCATCATACTCCCCTGGCGGTGAATCATCAAGTCTTGCCCTTGCCTTCCTCACCTGCCCCACCGGCGCCCCATACGACCCATGGGCCAACGGCAATGCTGGCCTCAAAATCGACCTCACCGGCAACAGAAAATAAAATTTCTTATCGCCAATTTGCAACAAATCTTGGGAGTCAAGTTTGACAGGGGCTGTGCCAGGCAAATGGAGGACGCCTTCAACGCAGCAGCCATTCTTTCCGAGGACATCGAGTGCAAACCGGCGGCGCTGGAAATCGTAGAATATGCGGGCATGGTGGCGTGAAATGTTCATGCCCCCGCCCAGGGAGGCAAGGTCTACATCCACCGCTGACTTCTTGCTGTTGCGGCCAAGAACAATGGAGTAGGTCTGCATGTAGTACTCAAAGTCCTCCCCCTGGAGCTTGGCAAAGCCTGCCTCTACCTCGCCCATGGCGAAGATGGATGAGAGAGAAAGAGAGAGGGAGGGGAGAAGGATTTAGGGTATTTATTTGGTCTAATGGCCTCTAGGGCTTCCAGGATTTCAGGTGCAGAGAGAGAGAAGCAATTGGGATGAATTTAGGACATTTCTTTGGGGCGATGGCTCAGAGAGAGGGGTGAGGCAGAACCCAAGAAAATAAGCGGGTGGCGCAGGAATTAATGGCAAACTTCAACACCTCATTGGAAATTTTAAAATTACAAAATTTCGAGAAAGGAAAGCCTTCTTTCTTTTTTTTTTCTTTTTTTGTTTGGTTGGGTTGGGTTAGTTTAGTGGTAGAAATCGAACAGGCGGATCGACTTTTCGGAGGAAAAAATTAGAAAATTAAATAAGAGAAAATTAGGTACAAATTCGTTATATTTTACATTATTACACGGTTACATCAAATAGTTTACGTTATTATAGATGCGCCCATTTTTCATCTTCTATAACACTATTTTTAAAAAAAAACGAGTTTGTCTTTTTTCGGATATTCAACATCCGAATTTCTAAGATTTTCGAATGTTGAATATCCGAAAATAGCCGCAGCTCCAACAGTATATTTTCCCTTTTTGGATTTTCGGATGTTGAACATCCAAAATTTTTCGTGCCAAGTTTTTCAGCTTATGGGTGAAAAGTTATTTATTTTCTTTTTATAAAATTGGGAAAAATGCATGATACCCTTTTACTGTCCTTTAATATTGTCCCCTAATACAGTAATCCACAAAGTTGAAAAGATTGACTCACTATTTGGACGTGATTGGTATCGTTCTTACTCTTGCCTTATACTGTTGATTAATTGATGTTTATTATCGGTTATTTTATAAGATATTATATTTTATTATTAATATTTGTTGTGCATTTTTTATTAATAAATGAAATTTGTTTTATATTGATGAAGTTGTTTGTTTTATATAATTATTTGTTGTTTGTATCATGTTTATACATTTTACTAGTACACTATTTCAATCTATTATGTAATACTTAGATTTTATGAACCCTAAAGTAGTTAGAAATATCCTAATTTTTGGTAATTTTTTTGTATTGATTTTTTGTAATAGAAATTTTGCTATTCATTTATTACAGTGGTATTGACAATGGCCATGAGGGAGTGCAACTGGTATTCCGATATTGGGGTCATTGGAGACAAATGCAAATGACCGACATGTTATTTATAAAAGATGAAAATTGAAGGTCACCTAGTATAATGGGAATAGTTCCTTGTAGAAACTAAAAAGTCATTTTGGAAATTTAACCAAGTATGATTCAAGCACACAAGTCTATCTAGTGGGCTTGATTTGATTGATGTAAGTGATTATATAGATGTATCTTTTATGTTAGGAGGGGAATCTTCGGGAATTATAGCATATATTGCCGCTACAATGGAGCCACGATAGGAATCTGTTGTTGAGGGGCCATCTTCAAGGAATAGATATATCTACAATTTATTTTTTCATATGTAAATTGCTTTATTTTAATCTTTTATGTGCAGAAATTGTTGCTTCATCTTAGACTATGTCTTTTGTCAACAGTCAGCGTAACGCTTTACCTAAGCAAGATCAAAACATTCAAGTGGCGCCCAACCCTGAGCTTATACTAGAGCATGATATGGAGGATATTGAACGACTAAAGAGTCCATGTAAAGGAGTTGGTAACGAGGTTCAATTGAATGTTGGACAATTTTTAAAAAAATTAATGAATGTCGGCATCATCTAGTACCAATGGCCCAAGAATTACTTGATCTGTGAAAGATGAAGGCTCGATTTTTTTACACAGTTATATCCGCCATGGATACGTAGTTTGAGATCCACAATCTTGGGAAGAAGTATGTTGTCGATTTAACGCATTGGACATGCAGTTATAAAAAATGGCAACTCAGTGGCATTTCGTGTGCCCATGTCATTGCGGCTATTAACCATATCCATTTGGATCCTATTGTGTACTGCCTTAGGTATTTCACAGTGTAATACTTTAAAAGGCTATTTGAAACTCCCTTTGCGCTTGTCCCTGATGATATTGAGTTGACAGGTATTTACAACCGAACAGTGCTGCCACCAAAGACTACACGCCTTCCCGGTAGGCCAAAAAAGCAACGAAGAATATCTGAAACGGAACATCTGATCACCGGACCTATGAAGTGCAAATGATGCGGTGCATAAGGTCATAATAGAAGGACATGCAAAGAACCGATAGATTGAATTACTTGATGTTAATATTAGATTGAATTACTTGATGTTAATATTCTTAATATTGTGTTTGTTGTAAATGTTGTCCTTTTGTGTTGTCATAAATCTTGAAATGGAAACTTTGGAGCCCCTATTGAAAGCTATTTTAGATTGCAAGTAGGCTATGTTAATTTGTAAAGGCTTCATTCAAAAATAAAAAAGTTGCATATAGATGAGAAATGCGGAACATTCATAACAACACGACTACTAGAATTGCAATTGTGCATCAGCTTCATCATTTCACAACTTGAGTTAATAGCATAATTGATTGATATTAATAGCATAATTGATAGTTCGCATACTACTAATAAGTTGATATAGCAATAAATTGATAAAGCAGTGACATATCAGTGATCACATGCTACTAAATATCAATTGATAGTTCAAGTGTTAGGATGTTGTACAACCAAAAATAATTTCGAATGTCCAACATTCGAAATTATAACATTTTCGGATGTTGTACATCCGAAAATGTCACTACGAACATCCAGGGAGTCCCTAGATGTTCGCAGTGTCCATGGATGCTCGCAGTGACATTTTCGGATGTACAACATCCGAAAATGTCAAGTTTTCGGATGTTGGACATCCGAAAAAAATTTTGGATGTCCAACATCTGAAATTGTAATATTTTCGGATGTACATCAAAAAATTGTCATATTTTCGGATGTACATCGAAAAATTGTCATATTTTCGGATGACAATTTCGGATGTTGGACATCCGAAATCATTTTCGGATGTCCAACATCCGAAAACTAGACATTTTCGGATGTTGTACATCCGAAAACTAGACATTTTCGGATGTTGTACATCCGAAAACTAGACATTTTCGAATGTTGTACATCCGAAAATGTTATAATTTCAAATGTTAGACATCCGAAAACTTGACATTTTCAGATGTTGTACATCCAAAAATGCCACTAATCACTTATACATGTGAAGGATCAGTTGGTCTCAATGCTCATTATGAAGTTTTGGTCTCAATGTCACTGGTCACTAATACATGTGAAGTATCAATTTGGTCTCACTGGTCACTTAAACATGCCTTTTTAAATCATCGACTCTAGACTCAAGCAAGTAGCAGTGAGATTAATTTAGCAGCAAATTTTAATGAGAACTAGGCAAATTGGACAACTTCGGCACGTTAAACACTGTTACTGTTTCACAACTTTGGCACGTTAAACACTGTTACTGTTTCTATCTTTAAACATTATTACAACATAGGCACCTTATATACTATCATTTGAACTTTGCAAGTAAGAAAGTAGAAAGACTTAATCAAATTGTACTCAACAAAATTCATTGAACAAATTGAGTGGATCAAAATGACCAATACATTACATCGCTCAAAATGAACAAAATTACCAGGGTCAAGACCCCATTACACTGGGCGCCTTCTCGTAGGTTGATACTATTTCTTTCGTGCTGATCACCTTCTCTTGAGCTGATATTGTTTCTTTCTTTCCTCAACTGCTGGTTGTGTGGATGGAGCTAAGTCTTCTACAGCCCGACTACTTTCACCCACTCCATCATGTCTGGCCTCGTCAGATACATATTCGTTATGAGATTCACGTTGTAAATTTTTCATCCTGGCTTCTATGTCATCCAAATCCTCAGGCACAAACTTAGACAATGTTCCAAACGCGTTGTTAATGCGATTATACACTTCAGGATTCTACTTCTGTCTAAGTGTAAGTACCTCTGCTAACATGACTGTAGATGCCTAAACTGCACTAACCTACACAAACAAGATTACCTAATTAATAAATTTAAACAATTTCATGGAACTAATAGGTAAATACAAGACTATAAGAATTTGTAGGTCAATATAAACATACCAACTGGTCTTCATAACCTCGAGGTTTCATTATATACTGTGATTCATGAGCAAGAACCACATCTTGTTCTTCCTGATTATGAGGTTGCAATATGTCTTTGGGTGGGTTAGCGACATTATGTATTAAAGGATGGGACACTAGGTTGTATCAGGCCTTGTACTCCTTTAAGGGTAACCCATTATCAGTATCTTCTTCAAATTCAGGCATCATGTGGTCATGGCAAGTTTCCCAATGTTGTATTTTGTCTACATCTACAGTTCGTCAATCTCGTTGTCCACCTTGTCTACTAACCCTCTTTCCAACAACCAAGGGATTTCTAGGAACGCCCTGTTTAGCTCCAAATTGTCGACGTACTCGATCTGACATGTACGGCTTGACAATATCGTCAAATATGAGCGTTGTTATGCACATTGCAGTTTCATATGCTTGTTGCTTATCACTTGAAATGGCCTCATCAGGCTTGAAATAGGGATTCCATATTACCGATTATATGATATACAATCAGTCAATAAAAATAATTACAAATACTTAAATACATTTGAAAGTAATCAATATCAAATTATACATTAACCTCATTAGGTTGGAGGTTATCAAATTCTTGTTTGATGGGAGGAATTAGATTATTTCTTCAGTGGCTCCCATCTTTTGGCCCTAAGTATATTTGGAGAGATACTATGCGGTATGGGCCTCATATGCATAATATGTTCATACGATCAGCACTGTAATAAATTAAAATATGATATATATTACATATTTTAAGAAGCAGTCTAAACTATAACGCTTATGCCATATACCAAAAAAAAATGTTACCTACATGAGAGTGGATGAGCCACTAAAATGTCTTCGTTTGAAAGTACAAGCTTTTCCAAGTGAGCGATAGAGGAATGCAAGGGCTGCAGCACCCCAAGCATATCTGCTAGCTCCCTCAATATCTTTAAAAAACTGCAAGTACCTTGTTAGTACTGTTGAAACTGATGTATCAGAGAATATGGTGACACTAATGAGGAAGAGCAGATTTGCTCGAGTATATCTATAAACTTGAACAAGGGTTGCATTAGGTGGCAATTCTCTAAAATTCGCCTTCAATCATGTATGCCTTAGGATTGTTATGTTTCTATTAAGGAGTATACCTAAA